GGGGGATACGTGCACTGGCTCGGCAAGCTTTGCTGTACTGCCCCCTGTCCCTTCCTCTCCCTGGCCAGCTTCCAGGACCCAGCACTTGGGCAGCCTCCTACACATACCCACATGCTAGCCACACACCCGACACCTTACCACATCCCCACACGCACTTTACCCCAACATACGGACACACCCCCGTGGAGGGTCAGTGTTTCCCAATCCAAGGGTGGAGTTTCTTTTACGTTGGGGACCATGCAATAGGGGCAGGGGATTCTGGGATCATGGCGAACAGGGCAAGGTTTGGTGTTGGGGGGGTAGTAGGGCTGGGGGCACAGGGCAGCAGGGCTGGGGGGCGAGGGGCACAAGCAGGGAATCTTGCCATTTACCCCCTGCCCTCATTTTGTTTTAAGCAGGCGCAGGCAGCCCCATCCAGGCTGTGAGCAGCTGCTGCGCCGGCAGGGAGCGCCGGCAATGGGGCAGGCAAAGGGCTGCTTTTCCCCACACTCAGCTTTTTCCTGGGCTCCTTCCCTGCCCTTCCCCACACCCTTCACCTTACCTGAAGTTTCGGTGCGGGGCAGCCACATGGTCCCAGACCAGAAGCCCCAGCTGGGCCTTCCAGCCGGTCGGGGGGGGGCGGGGCGGGGCGGAGCAGGCCCTGCTGTTGCAGGAGTCCACTGGGCTTCCCTTGGGACCTAATGCCCCTGGTTCTTGTCATTTTTTACAGGAACCAAAGACAGAGAAATACTAATTTTCTAAATGTTAAGGGGCCCCGCGGGCCAGATAGAATGGCCTTGCTGGCTGGATCCGGCCCCTGGGTTGTATTTCGCCCACCTCTGGCCTCGATTTATGTTTTTAGCAATTTGAGTTTTCTTAGAAATATACCTTTTAGTTAGGCTGACATCCTGTTCTCTTAATGAAACTTTTCAAACATTGGTGGTGTTTGGACTACAAAAACAATTGTTTGTCTCATGGGTAACATTGGACCCCTACGAGGCAGGGCAGGGCAGTTGGTGACGGATGCGCGAGAGAAGGCAGAACTCTTCAACAAGTTCTTTGCCTCCGTGTTCGTGTTCCTGTCTGCTGACAATGGGGTGCTCTCAGGTGATAGTGTAGAGAGGCCCAGAAAGGATGCGAGTCCCCCGACTGTTAGTTCAGACCTAGTTAAGGATTACCTGAAGGGTTTAGATGTGTCCAAGTTGGCAGGCCTGGATGACCTTCATCTGCAGGTGCTGAGGGAATTGGCTGGTGTCATCATGGAGCCATTGGCACGGCTGTTTGAGGACTCCTGGTGCTCGGGCCAAGTCTCTGAGGACTGGAAAAGAGCCAGTGTGGTCCCTATTTTCAAGAAGGGGAGGAAGGAAGAGCCTAGCAACTACAGGCCAGTCAGCCTCACTTCTATCCTGGGGAAGGTCTTTGAAAAAATTATCAAGGGCCACATTTGTGAGAGCCCTGCAGGGGAAGTGATGTTGAGGGGTAACCAACATGGGTTCGTGCCAGGCCGATCCTGCCTGACTAACCTGGTCTCTTTCTATGACCAGGTAACAAAGAGCTTAGATG